TTTTACATTTTTTTTTATTAATGCAATCACATGAATCGGTATCGATCACCAATATGAACTCCTGTGATATGTGACGAGATTTGACGAGATTTGATGAGACTTGAAGTACGAGGAAACAGAATGCAAGAAAGTGGACTTCAGAAGTTTATACACTGTGACGCTCGTATAAACCTGTTAGTACTTATGGAGCCTCGACCACACTATGAAAGTCCTTTTGATGTTTGCATAACGAATGCTATTTGATCGAGAAGCTGCCTTGATCGATAACTTGAACTTTACGATATGAATCGAGGCTCCGCAAATGTCAGGACCTTTGGAGATTCATACCATTGCTGGAATTACTGGAATATAAATTGTTGAATTAAATTCCGGCGACTTTTCAGTTTGAATACTTTTCAATGGTACTAGACTTAATTCAAAACACTGGGATGTTTTCTGGTTGCTTCTGCAAATAATTTAATTCCTGTCTAGAAGGATGCCGACATGTTTCTCCGGAGCCACATAAAATGTTTTTAATGGCCTGAGAATCAGAGCCAAGCTAGAAAGCACCCAAGGGCATGGGATGGAAATGAATATTCCAGATAAATAACCAGGTATATATTCCTACTCCATTGCAAACTGGAAGTTCGACAAGATATGTATACATCTTGGCAAGCAGTGATCATTACTCATTCTGCAGTAACGGAAAACATATGATCAAAATTGCAAGAAAGTCATTATTCAATTGCATCAACAACGTGCGTTTCGATTTTCAAAGTAAAGATAATTAGCGATTCAGCGAATCATTAGCCTCAATTTTTAGATCGCAAAAAATATATATACATTTTGTGTGCTCACTTTAGCAGAAGCCTGTTTAGCGATGTTGTAGTTGTAATAGTTTTACAATAGTTATAATAGTTGTTTAATAGTTATGCATTACTTATTTGCTTTTATTTCTTTATTGTATTGAATTTGTAATTGTACGTGTATAGGCCCTAGTAATTTGTAATGTACGCAGGGCCCCGATGGAAACCAGTTTTAAACTGTGTGGGCATACTTTGGGTACAGAAATCACGGTAATGAATAAGGGAATAAATGTGTGCTTCGGAGGTTTTTATCACTCTGTTTAAGACCACTAATTATAGTCTGGGTGCTGATAATTACCCGAGCCGGAGGCGAGGGTAATTATCAGCACCCAGACTCTAAGTGGTCTTAAACAGAGTGATAAATACCGACGGAGCAAATATTTATTCCCATTCATAAATACCTTTTCGGTAAGAAAAAATCATATAATTCGTTCAAAACATCCCGATTTTGTTCAACAAATTCACTTTATGCTTTTTGAAACATCCCTCTTGCAAAATAATGGAGTGTCAGCTGGCGAGTAAGATGTAAACAACCCTTTTATGGAGATTGACGCGCGCGTATCATGTTCTGCGCGATGTCGCGCAGAACGCACCTGGCGCGTTGCGTTTTGAATTTAGAACTTTAAAATTCTGACTCCCTGGTAGTGTTGCGCATGCCTACGTGAGGATTGTGAACGTTCAACCAATGAAACGATAAGAGGCACTGGATTTTTAGGAGTCCACATTTTATTGTGACACTGGAAAAGTGTTTAAGACCAGCTAGCCATGTCTTTATCATCCGTTTAAGACCGGCCACGTGACGGGCTCTCGACCAATAGGAATGCGTAAACTGTCTTAGGTATTTATGAATAGCCCCAGGTGCGTTCTGCGCGACATCGCTCAGAACGTGCTACGCGCGCGTCAATCTCCATAAAAGGGTTGTTTACATCTTAATCGCCAGCTGAACACTCCATTATTTAGCTAGAGGGATGTTTCAAAAAGCATGAAGTAAACTTGTTGAACAAAATCGGGATTTTTTGACCGAAATATTATATTTTTTTGACCGAAAAGGTATTTATGAAAATAAATATGTGCTCGGTCGGTATTAATCACTCTGTTTAAGACTGCTTAGAGTCTGGGTGCTGATAATTACCCTCGCTTCCGGCTCGGGTAATTATCAGCACCCAGACTCTAAGCGGTCTTAAACAGAGTGATTAAAACCTCTCGAGCACACATTTATTCCCTTAATACTAACTAAACTAATAGTATAAACTGCAGGATTATGTTTTGGGGGATTTTCTCAATTTACTCCCCGAGATATTCTCTGCGGAACTTCAAATAATCAAGGCGATATCTAATCATGAGATTCAGGAAAACCAGTAATGCCATTAGATTAATGAGTGCGTCTGTGAAACACTAAGTATGCAGGTGCTCTGGTAATTGGACAGCAAATAGTAATGGCATACCTTTTTTTTTCTTTTGGAAGCAGCGAGTAAACGAGTTAAACATTGTGAAGGATACATCAATTAGATTAAAGAGCGAGTCCCTAATTACGGCTACATCCCAGTTGTCGGCGACTGCACTTGCATGAAGATATTTAACTAATGGCAGGGGCATTTTTTTTGTCGGGAAAACATTGAACTACCTCGGGAAAATGTTTGGCAGTGGGTTGCCGTGCGAGCAAATACACCGGGGTGTGCCTAGGGGATTCATGGAATCGAAGGGAAATCAGCATTGAAAACATCGGCAGGGGCAGCGGGTGTTCGGGGAAAGAGGGGCGGGAAATTATATATCCACTGGAAATTTCATCAAACCAAACAAAATGGGGATATTTAACTTAAAATACGACATGTTTGTGCACTATTTATCTTGATGTGTAAGACTGCATAAGCCGCAGTGTTTATATTTCACCGTGTTGTGTCCATATTGGATTTGGACGAGAAATCCATACAGTCGTCGCATCGTGTGGCATCAACACCTTGACAAATTGTGCAGTGGTCATAGCTACGGTAGCCCCGTCCCCTTTGGCAGGCCCCACTTGCAATCAACCTGCCGTCGTCATTAATGTATCCCCAGCAAGGCTCCTATCCAGGAGCAAATCTCCCTAGTTCATGTTCAAGGGTAAATCATTGAAATTCAGGTTAGGAGGCTCTAGCCGTATCGGCTTTCCAGCGGGTCAATGCCTCCTTGGATCATCATCAGATATCCTTCGAACACACCTCTCCTTTTACTCCCTGATTCTCCATCTTTCTCCCCTGCACGGGTCTTCTTTTCATCAGTCTGTCACTCTTTGTCATTCCGTAGTCGTGACATTGATCTCCCGTTGCTTGTTCTCTCCTCTTTGACGCTTATATCCTACCCCTGATGTGTATTTTTCATAAGGCGACCAGAATTTTTTCTACCTCCAAAGATAAACGCATCATTCATTCGCCACTGGTTGGATAATGTTTCTGCGGCGGATCGATAAAGTAGGTCGGTGCATTGGTGGACCATCTGCTCGGCAAAAACGTCTGTTTCTTTGTTTTCAGATGTAAGAATGCGGATATTCGCGTGAGCAGTTACATGAAACTGTATAATTCAAATACGAAAGTCTTCCAAGATATAACACACGCTGCAAACATTGCATGCATGCCCATGTGCACGGTTACAATTTTAGCATACGCCAGACTATGGTCTCTGTGCGCAATCCCTATACGGCGAACAGAGAGAAAGTACCCAAGAACACTATAAGACAGTGTGCGAAATTCCTGTAGTTTTCACTATGATCTTATCAACCTGAGTATATATTTATGACAAATATATTAATAAATGATGCTTGTAGAGATAAACACTATTGGGTGAGGAACTTATATCCTACTCCGCTATTAAAACAAAAATCATAAATTATCATTCTCAATCATGAATACATGACTTGCGTATAAATATGTTATGCATAATTTCATATATATATCCAAACACATATCTAAAACTCACAGCACCGTATCGTTCATTTATCGTTGCAAGTTTTATAATTTTTTGGGGGTAATAGCGATTTCTCCAAATTACCATTTATTATGTACTGCGCGTTAGTTTTAAGAAGGCTTACGATTATAGCAAGAGTTGATCGCCTCATTCCATTTCCTAGGCCAGAAATCCCCAACAATGCTCAACTGACGTTTCCTTATTACTCCCGAATCCGCATTCGCCTTGAAATGCTCCACTCGCCTCTATAGCGTGCATCGTTCGATACCATACTTCGACCGTACTTCCATATACGCAAACCACCTGTCTATTGTGTACAAAGCGACCTACTCTTTTACGATTGATACGAATACTACTCTTGCATTTCTAAAATTGTATTTAACAAGTGTTGGCACAATTTCCTGGTCATTTTGTAAAAGTGATACTCTGAATGTCGGAGCTAATTTCTTATATATTAACAATAGCAGGCAACTGACGGAGGCGCGTTTAAGAATCGAAGGTCAAATCGCTTGAGAAAAAAAAAGTACCTGCATCTATTGACTCACACACCTTGCAATTAACATGGCGGTATAATTAGCATTGAGGCAAATACTCATGGGGCAAATACTAAAATTTCATGGGGCTTCACGCATGAACTGATCTTTCATTATGTTTAGTTGGTTAATGAGACGAGACGAAAATTCCGAATATTTTTCGAAAATACCAAAAGATATTATACATGTATTTAAAAGATCAGACAGTGACAGTTTAAAGAACGCTGTATAAGCGTATTCATATCGAAGGATTTACCTGCACGAATTCATCTGTACTGCTCTGAAAGTAATGAATATATAAATTATGTATTTATATTTCTGTTGTGATAAAAAATATACAGTGAATGTTTCTCTATTCTTGTTTTTTTTTTATGGCCAACAACTACTGCATTTGTTTAAAGCCAAAACCATACGCTGCGATCAATGTTGAATTTGTATGACAGAGCTACCACACTGAGTTCATCATACCAGCAAATGATGTACTGATAACAACAGACTGGAACACATGGACGATAAGGAATGAGCGATGCGTGTAACTGCGCATGTCCATCCAATCAGAGTCACTGTTATAGTCGGCACGGTAGCTGAGCAAGCGAAACGTCTCATCACGTGGTGGCTTGGCGGGTCGTACAGGTAATGTATACCGTCCCTGGAGCCGACCATGCGGTATATAAATCCGCTACGCGCTGGAGTAATTGCACTGAATGAGGACCACGTCTCGATGCAGCTGGATTTTGGATCCACAGAGCTTTTCTCGTCTTCTGCGTTAAGTGTGCGTGTGAGCGTTCCTCTTGATTAGAGACTGTGAATAAACGGCGTCGGAATGGAGCATTTCGACTCGTACGATTTCCACTATGGTGAGCTGTTGCCCAATCTCACGGAGGGCGAGTGCGCCTACATGCCCTTCGTGAACGTAACCGAGGAGAACATTGGAGACTTTGTATACACCACGACACAGAAGGTAATCCTGCTGGCCATTCTACCTGTCTTCATGGTAGTTGGCCTGTTGGACAATCTAGCCTTCGTCTATGTGGTCCTAAAGATCCCGGACATGAAAACGGTGACCAACGCCTACCTGCTGAACCTGGCCATAGCTGACGTGTTGTACCTGACATTCTCTGTTGGGGAGAAGCTTGTCAAGTATGGCCTGTCTTCGGTCTCTGATAACGACGGCGTGTTGGGTCTGGGTGGCTGCATCGTGGTCTATATCATCACCGATTTGGCTTACTTTGCCGGACTGTTCTTCGTGACGCTCGTATCTATCGACCGCTTCATGGCCGTCCACAGCCCCATGGCAAGCGGTAGGAAAGGCGGAAGCGACATCACCCAGATGACAATCCTCGGAACCTGGATATTAGCGGCTGTCCTGTCAGCACTGATGTCCCCAGCCTATGGTGCCTTGGAGGAGTATTGCATCCTGTGGCCCGACGTGGCACCGTACAACAACTGGGCGCACGTGGCAGCCGAGTGTGTGGCAATCAGTCCCTGGTTGACACCCTTCACCCAGGGACTCCAGACCCTCCCTTTCTTCATCTCCTTCATCACCAACGTCATCCTCTACATCTGCATCATCAAGGGTCTGGATCAGTCCATCGAGAGACTTCGCAAACACGGCCTGATGAAGGAGAAGGACATCAACGTGCGCAACCAGATCGCTCGCATGCTGGTCGTCAACGGCATGGTGTTCTTCTTCTGCCTGGCGCCTTTTGAGCTCATGTCTCTCCTCTCGATGGTAGATACTCTGTCTGGAGGCCACAAGATCGTCATTCCTCTTGAGACCCGCTTCACCTTGGACCACATCGGAAGGGTGCTGGCTTACTTCAACTCGGCCATTAACCCGCTGATCTACACGGCCATGAGCAGCCGCTACCGACAGGCTTTCAAGCAAGCTTTTTTCCCCAAGAATCGGCGCGGATTTTTTCGCGGGGTACGAACGTCGTTTAATCACACTTTATCGCATACGACGGAGACGCACGTGGACGAGACTCAAACTGAGTCAAGATTCTGAGGCTCGAGGGAACGCGTAGACGCGTCCTCCAGTCGTTAGAACCGGCACATAACACTGAAGCAAGATTGGCGCACATCGTGATTGTGAGCACCTACTGTGGCCTAAAGTTGCGAGGTTGTCTTTGTGGAATATTGTATAAAGGTACCCAATGAAGGAGTTTAACAATCATCAGATGACAAATTATATGTATAATTTGATATGTTAAAAGATAAAAGGTAAACTGTACAAAAAAAATGGTATTTCATTATAAGAAAAGTGTTATTTATCAGTGGTGGCCTCTGAATTCCTAATAATTTATCATGCTTAAAGATCAATCGTAGGGTTAATTTTTAACCTCTTGGATTTTTAACTTATAAAAAATACGAGTCGAATATGAGTGTTGACATGAAAAACATCAACTTGCCGATCCCGGCTAAATTCTCTTACCTGAGCAAAAAAAAAGACCTCGCACTTTTAAGCTAACAACATTCATTACGCTGTATTTTCATCAAGGTCCAGATGATAAAAAGCTACGCGAGGTTAAATTAAAGGTATAAATTAAATTACTTGACATTCGTCCCCTCTTTCCTCAGAATTCCATGCAGAACCATACGAGGGAGTTTTCGCGTTAAAGTACGACATAATGAACACGAACATGCTCATTTGGGATGGATGACTGATAATGAATATGCCACCTGTTGAGTTAAAAGGTAATAATTAGTAACATATAAGTGGACTTGAAAGAAACCGAGTCCAAAGTTTATCAGAAAGTGCTGACGTTATGCTTATAGTTAAAGCTAAAGTCCATCATTTGCAGCTATCCGTAAAGTAACTGGCGTAATTATTGTTGAAAAACATACTTGGTTGAAAGATAGTAAGGGGACTAAACTCCCTGTGAAATTATTCTTTCTGGCAAGTTGTAATTTTGAAGAAATCAACGAAAGAAGGCCTTCCAACGGTGCTTCTTAAGACGCACCGTAGGAAATTTAAATTAGTAGTTCGTTTTGTTATTCGGCGAAGCGCGCGCAAGCATTGGCACGACGCACACGCGCGCGCGGTTGCTATAATTCGCCGGATTAGTGCGCGACATCGCGTAAAGCTGTAATCGGCTCAGTGAGAACGTGTCTCGGACGCTGAATTCAGGCCCAATTCAAAACACGATTAAGCAACTTTTGATTTGAAATTGAGATCCTAGAATGCTGTTTTTCTCGGAATTTACAGCTGAAGCTGAGCTGAAACTTCATCATCAGGTTAGTTGTTCAGTATCCTTCTTTAGATTCTGAGCACTTCTGTTGCTTCACACGAACAAAATGCGCACATTACAAATGATGGACTATAACTTTAACTCAGTTTTCAACCCCTTTTAAGAAACATTACCCCATAAGAAAGTACTGAGATGTAATGAAGTGCTATGTTGTTAGCACATTCACCATAAATCGTAAACAAAGTATGGTACTAAACAGTACTACACCAAAGCACTGTAAAATATCAATCTGTATTTGCGTTAATGAGTGGAATTTCAATGGTCGTATCAATCTGTATTTGCGTTAATGAGTGGAATTTCAATGGTCGAATCAAAGTTTTGACAGAGCCAAGTGGCTTCCTTGAATAACACAACATTTGGCCTTTTTACAGCGCACATTGGCATTCTAATAGGTCTAAGAGATCGATAATTCTTTACCTTTATTGGTAAAGTGCGGATGCTTTTCTTCTGCCGACTTGTTCACGCTGGAATGGTCGACGTTATTTTCAGCCGACCGGGCTGCCTTTTGCCGCAGTCACTCTCGCGAAAACTCGACGTGCATGCCATGAATAATGAACAGTCGGTATGCACCTCAGTTATGGTGAATTATTTATGGCCAATGACGTGAATGTTCGGGATTGAATATCGTGAGCAAAACCAGCCAAGTGTGAAGCAAAAAAAAACAAAAAACAAAAAAAAACCGCGAAAATGCACACCGTTAGTAATCACTAAAACTCGATGACTTGTCTGTCATGAGGTCAATTTCGTTTCTGCGGAAGGACTGTAGTTTTACATTGTTAATGAATTATGGTTTTTGGTGTTGTATAAATCGTAAACTTATAGGATATTAAGAGAGTTTCGGCAGGTTCAAAATTCACGTAACCTTATTGATTTCACGTGTTACAGACGTCATCACTTTCTGTGTTCTATGATGTTCATACATAAATTTTGTAATACTGGAAACATTTCGATATTTTTAAAGCGTTTTTGCGACATCAGATGGTGACTGGACATTCATATTGCATGCACGTGCGATATTGTATATGTTCAATATTTTGCGAAGACATCGATGCCAACATTTAAATGGAAAACGAAATCGACATTACGTTTTCGGATACATTTCTTAGGGCCTTTACGTAATTATTTCGTGTGTGCCGAGACTGTCGACTATAGGTTTGAATATCGACCAAGCTATAGTCCTTTTATTGCACGGGAACTCAGAACGCGGCACACTTTCTGTGCCTCATTTCCGTCAGCAGTCGATCAAAATCTTCATTCCCTCTGTCATCCTCGCTTTCTTGAACAAACGAGGCCCGCTGTGTCATGTATAAAATTTGCCTGGCTGTCCTTCAAATATTAGAAGCGCATATTGGAAGACGACCTTTAAAAATGGGATGATCGAGTCACGCTGTACAGTGTTCTGAATATAGGTAGCCTGATGACACATTTTCGCAACACATTTGTTTTGTGTTCTAAATTGCACTTTTTCAAGATAATATCTATACGAAAGGTTTTTATAAGTTGAACTTATATTTCAATGATGATTTCTAACCTCTGTATTAATTGAAAAGATCATAAACAATCCCGGATCAAAGTGCTGGTAGGTTTTGCGTCATTCGGGCATAAACACGAAAAACAACATTTTGGAATGGTTGTTTCTCTTGGAAAATCTCTCAAGAGATCATGCGGTACAACGACCAATGAACATAGGTCTGACTACTCTTAACACTGAAAAGAAAAGTGCAAAATAAGAGGCATATTTGGTAATTTTGGTTCATCTTCCGCGGATGTTAACTTATTACGGGTGCGGCACATATCTTGCCTCGTTTGAAATTGGGAAAATTGATAGGATGTATTCATCATTACTTCTTGATCTCCTCCGGTGGTCGAGAAGATTAATTTCAACCTCCGTTAAATGAAATTCCGGCGTTCTCCGACATCCTCTGCTTAATGCCCAAGGCCTACCCTCAAACGGAAATCAGATAATGCCGAAGGGCTAGATTTTTCAATTTGGTGATTTAGGGATGATTAACACCTTGCAATTTCCGTCCGCCAAAGGTGATAAGCTCCTGTAGCGGGAGTCGCGTCCCTGTCATGCCGGGCCCAGAGCGGTGCGCGCTGTACGCCGCGCACCGGAACCTCCGCATAATTAATGTGCAATATCATGTTGAAAATTCAATTTCGTGCGTACGAGCTGCGAGGGAGTTTTTGGCCTTTTTCTCACATCGTTCATAGCAGGTGCACCCAGCCGCAAAACATTAATGCGCATAGTCGTGTTTTAAACTACCGATGGGACATGCTTTTTCCCCAGAATAACTTGAACCTGAAATGATTAATTACCGAGCATTATTTTTGTATATCTCCTGAAAGCATAAAATTGGATATGGTACAATGGGAATTAAGCATAAATGAATGCATCTAATTCTCACATTTGACAGAGGAACGAATGGAATTGAAAGTAAATAAATAAGTTCCGAAATCAATTCAATTCAACCAGAGACCCAGCTCGATTACAATACACACATTTTGTTTATGAAATCCTGAAAAAAATATCTCACTGCACTTAGCAAAAGTAGTTCCACAAGATAACATTTGACAAGAGACATTCATAAAAAAAAAACTATAATTGCACAGGGAAACGCTGCGTTAATATTAAAACGAGCACTAATTTCAGAGGTAAAACATTAACGTTTTCTAGTATACAGTCGGTGTCCTTTGACTTACTTGTTATCACATGTGAAAGACAATGATGTACAAATCTTCACAAATGAAATGAGCACATTCCAGTTTTTCCTTGACATTGCCTCTTTAGGGTCGAATAATTTGGTTGATCTAGAGAATTCTTCGTGGAAATCATGTATGTTGTTATCCAAAATTTAGCGGCATATACCTTTTTATCTGAGCCGTTGATCCAAGGAGAGTGATATGAACATCTTGCTCACACAAATGCAATATACCTTTGATCGTCTGATCAAAAACCGACTAAACGGCATAGACTTACCTCAACTATATACGTTTATATTAGCTTGCGCAACGTGAGGTCAATGTGCCTGCCACAAGGCCTGAATTTGCCACAAAATTGGTCCGAGACATAGCGAGGAACATGATATCTCTCTCTCTCAGTCAGTCTCAGTGTTTACGTTTTCGCATGAGAACACTAATCCTTGCAAGAAGATGCTAGTGTTATCAGTCGACATCTTGTCTCGGCTGAAACTCATCGAAACTTGATTCTTTGTTTTTTTTGCCAAAGGACATTACCGCAACATTCTCCTCAGAAATCAAATAAAACAGTTTGACATTTCCTTTCAAATGGATTTGAGGTAAGGTTATACCACAGATGTTTCTAGCGTGTGATATGCGTCAGTGGCACTTACATTCCATATTTGTCAGACTATTTTCCCTATAACTTTTTTGAAATGAGAAATCTTGTCATATTTTGGTGTGATAATTTGACAAGTGATAGGCAGCACGACCCCGTGTGTAACTGACCGTTAATAAACCTCCAGCTTTCTACCTATAGCTGTGGGTTTGTGACGTAATACCGGGGGGGGGGGGGGTTGAAGAGTTTATAGGGCTTTAATGGTGTGAAGCCCACCTACTGTGGTTAGCATTTACGGTAACTGGAGCTCGCCTAATCACTGACTATACCGTGTATTTTTATGAAATATCGGTTTCATTAATGAGAATAATTATCACTTTCGCACTTGCACTGGCGTGACTTTTGTGATTCTCAAATTCTCCATTAAGTAATTGTTTTTAAAGGATCGTGCACTGTAATGCGGTGTAAAACGCAAGAATCGATCGAACAGGATTTAAATTAGTAGGCCTAGTGTGAATAAAGGGGTAACTTTGGGGCATGTTGCTTTTCTTAAATAGAAAAATGCTGTTAAAAGGAGGAATGCTGTTCAGAAAAAAAGCGATGAATCGATTCTGGTATGGAGTATCAATGCGTAAATTACCACGCTCAGTCCAGCACATGGTTTTTTTTGAGATTTTGTTTAGAGTTACATCACTATACGAATCTTTATAAAATCAAAGACTCGAAGTGAACATATATTGTTCCATTGGACACACGCCTTCCCAAGTAGGAAACCGGGTAAATGTAGAATATAGAGAGGTAGACGTTTCTGAGCTTTCACCACAGACTTGGCAGATTGTTCTAAGTGCAGTTGATTTAAAAAACAAATGAAGCACATTTTGCTGTACCTTCCAACGTTGGAAATTTACAGGAGGCGCCCCATTGAACTTCGGCCTATATTCGCCAAAATTGTCATGGATATATTCGCGCATTCCACGCCACTTAAAGCTGAATGAAATATTTACGGGGACATTAAACAAAATGGCCGTGCGCCAAACATGTAGTGGGGGAGTTTTCGTCACATCCGCGTTTATCACTCTACCGTCATTCCAAGTGACATTTCGAGAGCGCCTGCAAAATCTGGATGTGGTCGCCAGAGGTGTGCGGATCTTTTCAATAATTCAGGGGATATTGCACCAGAGACGGGGTGCCTAGGGTAATGCGGCCCAGGCGTTTTTTCCCCTAACGACCAGTGGAGAGCGGCGGCACGGCGAGTCGTATATGCGGGCGCCGCGCGCTGATGTCCCCA